TTTTTTACTAATGGCTGATTCAGAAATGGAAACCTCCCTTCCCACAGTCATTTCTGAGCATAATGGTGTTATGTTTGTCACTTTCTAGACATGGGGGGTTTTCTCGCTTTTTAAATAAGGTATCTGCATATTTTTCTAAGCTTAGAATTATATATTACACAGTAGCCTAAATACAAACATAATACAGCATAAAATAATTTCAATAATTTGAATGATGAAGAAACACTTCTCTAAAATTAACATTGAGGGCCAGTAAGATAGCTCAGCAGTCTAAAGTGCCTGCTTAGGTAAGCTTAGGCAAACACAAGGACCATGGTTTGATCCCCAGCACCACATGCCACACCAGCCCCAACCCTAGGGTGGGCAGAGATGGCCACACACAAAAAAATAACATTCAGTTCTATTAACTTTGTCTCAAAGTAATCACATGATTATTTAACCAAGAAAACACACTTAGTAATAAATATCAATTTTAAATGTTATGTTCTGAGTTTAGTCTTATGAGAAAAAAGCTGCACATGAATACTTAACCTGCAAACTATATTTAAACACAAAAACCAAATACCAATGTCTAATGGGACTTTTCATTTCTTTGATACCATGTAGCACAAAAGTGGTTCGATATCTTTGGTTAAACTGTAAATCCTCAAATCAAGAAATATTATGAGCCTCAGAATTTCCAAGTCTACATTATCCACCTCAATGAGTTTATTTATGAGTCTGTCTCTTGTTTGGCAAAATTCTTTCACACCTCCTGGTGTGTGTATCAAGTTCTGCTCCCTGTCATTTGGGACAGAACTCAACAAGCACACTCACCCAGCAGCATTAAAGAACCGATGCTCTCTCCACAAGAGAAACACTTCCTTCCAAGCAGCCTCCCCAGACAAGGCTGAGCATGCTCTTTGCTCTTCATTGTGGATGGCAGGCCTGGCCTGGCTGGGTGGCTGCCCTCCAAGCCACCTATGCTTTTCACAAAGGACACTTCAGTGTGCAGCTATTCTGAAGCCACCAATGTGCTTATCTATGGTGGCATCAACAAAAGCATCATATGAGCAGCATGTGAATTACATACCCAGCAGCATACTTTGGGACTCAAGTCACATGTGAATAATCTACATTTGGTTGCTGATGATTCTCGAATAATGTTCCATAAGGCCCCAAAACATCATGGGTGTGGAAAAGCTATTTATCAGGGGAATTCATTTATTTAGGAATACTCAGAACTGAAGCTTAACAAAATTAATTTCTATGTAGGTTTAAATTTCGCACAAATTTTCATCTTGATTTTAAAGTCAATGAGGAGATGGTGTGCGGTTCCTGTTTCAAGGTTGTTAGTTTACTGTTTGCATAGCTTTGAAATGCTTCCCAGTAGAATCCATTTATGGTAATTAAAGGACCAGGCAAACTAGCACTCAGTAGGGCAGTGGACTCCTGTTTTGAACATACCAAGAATTTAGCATTTAACAAGTCATTATGACCTCAAATTATCAATATCCCACTGTATTCAGTTAATGAATGTTCTAGCATAATCACCTGAAATTATCTTTCTGTGATTTACCTAAAAGATGCAATTAGCTTTTGTAAATAAAAGGAAGGAGTGTCCTCCATTTGACCTTCTAAGTGATGGTGCAGATTCTGGTTTTTCCTTTATAAATCACTGTAAGAGGTTATTTGATTTATTTGATTTATTTTTTTTTTTTTGCCCCTGATCCAAGCTTGACTTCTTAGCTATGTCAAATTTAAGTCTCCCTAGTCAAGTCTCGGTTCTGTGGATGTCTTTAGAATCATGCACTGATCCAAGGAACTGATTAAAATGTATGCTGATTTGTTTGAAGAAAAAGCATGTAATACAGGTGAAAATATTTGGAAGTAGCTTCCCATTAATCCATTTTGCTAATATAGATATTGATTTCTAGAAAGTTGAGCTTAAAATTACTATTCCTGAATAGCAACTTTCATAACCTGTGTATGGATGTCTTGTGAGAATACTGATTTATTTTTTAATACTGACCCTTCTTATACTTGAATAGTGGTATAGAAAAGGCCATCAGACTTAAGAAAATGCATTGCGACTTTCGTGATGCCTTGGAATTGCTTGCCCTGGGATACAGAGTCATAATCTCTTTCCCCTTGCTTCCATCCCACTCAACAGATAGTCGCGGCAATAATGGCAATTACTGGCATTGTCATGATGGCCTATGCAGATAACTTCCACGCGGACTCCATCATAGGTGTGGCCTTTGCAGTGGGCTCGGCCTCTACGTCCGCATTATACAAGGTATGTTGTGCACTTCTGTGGTCACCTGTCACCTATAGTTCAGACTGAAGCAATAAAGTAAGAAAGGGCAATGGAAACTTTGGATATAAAGAGAATGAATGTGCTTAAATGATAGTTTCAATAGCATTTGTTGAGTGTGTGCCATGGGTGGGATGGTATCTTCCAGAAAGGCTCTAAGATTGCCTCATGCAATCTTAGGCATAGATGCTTTCTCCCATTTTCCAGAAGAGGAAATGGGGGCTTTCAAAGATGTAGTTACTTGTCCAAGGTCCAACAGCCAGAAAATGATAGAAACAAAGTTGAAACTGGGCTAAACAATTCCGAAGTCTGGGCCCCCACCCTAGTCAGGCAGTTATACCAGGAAAGTGAGAACAGCTTCTGCTCTCCTTGTGTTTCTTTCATTTATTTATTGATGATCACTATTCTAACTTTGAAGCAATGCTAGAAATAATAAATAAGCTTTCACTCGAGAGTCACTCTTTGCTACATATTGACCCCATAGCACAGAAGCTCAAATCATGAGCAAAATGAAGATGCTCTTTCTCTCTGAAGTATCTAACTTTATCTAACATGTTGGTAAATGAATACATTCCATAACCAGAACCAGAGAATTCTCTCCATTAAAAAAGGCATCCTAAATAGATAGGCCTGCTGCCAGTGCACTTAGGCATGGCCTGGCCTGCAGCTGGAGCAGGGCGTGAGCATCACTTGCACACAGTGCAGATCTTGCCCAGGAGTCCTCAGATGAGAGATGCTCAGACTGCCCTCATAATCACTGGCATTTCCCAGTTATCTGTGAAGATTCTATTCAGGGTCATTGGCACCCGACTTTAGAAGTTCAGAATAAGAGAGCAGATCTAAAACGTTATTCTCCAAAGCTCTGCTTTTTAAAAGCAAATTTTCTAGATGACTCCAATGTCACCTCTCCTGGTGTTTCAACAAGAAAATGGTCTTTGAAAGGCAGAAAATGCCCTTACCTACCTCCCAGAGGCCTGCTTTGATTATTCACCACCACTGTGGCTCTGAGGGTGTGAAGTCTATTTCCATACTGACATTTCCTGGGCCACTGGTTCTGTGTGACAAGTTTGACAAGTGTTCAATCACTGGCTATTAGTGTCTAACTCGGTCCCCCAGGAATGCCGCCAAGATGTCTGATGTGGTGACCAAAGGCCAGCACATGCCCAAGTCCTCTCAATTAAGTCTTCCAAGAGAAAAAAAAATAACAATTTTAGTTACAAAAGAAAAGAATCAGTACCTTCAGCTACTATGCAACAGGATGGTTATCTTACAGAGTGAGTTCTCCTGACCATGGTACAGAATATATTCATTCTGAGAATGGTGATATTTGCAAGCGTGCTCCAAATTATGTTTGTACAATACATCTTGGCAGAAATAATCTACTCCATTTCTATTAGAGGATTAATGAAGGAAAAAACAGGCTAAGAGGACGAGAAAGCTTGGCTCCACATCTGGCCTCCTGCCCCAGCCAGCTCTGTGACTTTAGCCATTTGCCTCTCTCTGCCACTTTCTTCTCTACATGGCTTATAAGTCTGGAAAACAAAACAAAATGTTCTTAGCCCAGAAGATAATGCAGTGTTTGGGAAGACATTTTAAGATCAGAAAGAGAAGAGCTTATAAACCCAAGGCAGCATTATCTCTCTCAAGAACATAATGGCAGGTTCTTCGTCCAATTTACTTTTCAGTGTCTGTCTAAAAAAAAAGAAAGAAAGAAAGAAAGGATGCAATGAATTACGTGCTTGAGCAGAAGAAATGATGGCATCTCAAGCCTAGAAATTTTTCTAGACTAGTCTGCACCCTTGTTAGTTGTTATCCATACATCCAGCCTAATGATTTTGCTTTGCATAGCATACAGTCCCACAGCAATTTTCAACACCATGAATAATTTCCTTTACAGTAGTTGTGGCTCTGCATGAAGGATGTTGGGCATTTTAATTTCTTCCCATAACAGCTGACTAGGGAAACAGCGGGGCAAGGAGACCTGGAGCTCTGGGCCAGTTCATTCCCCACTAGACCAATAGAACTCACCCTCTGCTGCCCCAAAGTCTCCAACCATGTGGCTGAAGAGTTTCTTCCCAATCCAGGTTCTGTTTAAGATGTTTCTCGGAAGTGCCAACTTTGGTGAAGCCGCACACTTTGTCTCCACTTTGGGTTTCTTCAATTTGATCTTCATCTCCTTCACCCCGGTCATCCTGTATTTCACCAAGGTGGAGCACTGGTCCTCTTTTGCTGCTCTGCCATGGGGCTGTCTCTGTGGGATGGCAGGATTGTGGCTGGGTAAGTGACCTTTGGTTTCGGCATCCGTATAGTGTCACTCGAACTTCCCTTGGGCACATTTTAGTAGTATGACCACCACCCACCCTTGAATACCTCAACTGCCTTCATTTACATTGGCTAATGTCATTGAATGTTAGAAGGTCTTTTGCAGGCTCATGATTGATTAGATGTGAACTATCCAGGTAGTGTCTTTTTGCCATGGTTTAAGGTGTATAACTGATGGCCGAGGCCACTCTGCTCAGCCCCAGCCTTCACACAGCTCCTGCTCTGAAGCACACCAGACCAGAGAGGAGCCTGGAAAATAGAGCTGCTCGCCTTAGTCAGTCCAGGGACTCGTGTCTGCTCACCCAGAATCAGAACGTTCGTGTTCTGCCCCCTCTCCCACATACTGTCTCTGCCTGCTCTACATTCACCCAGCACCAGTACCCTGAGGACCTCCGCCAGCCCCCGCTGACCAGCTTTGCCATGGTGGCGTGTGATGCCTCTGTAGCTCTTGGGAGAAGAATGTCCTGATTCCAGCAAGGGTGTTGGGTGGGTCACCTTAGTCTGTTCCATTCAGGCCTCTGAGGAGAGATCTTAGACAGGAACATTTAAGAGAAGAATGAAACATTCATTGTCAATCTCCTGAGCTCCATTTTTCAAGACCAAAATTGTATGATTGTCATCTCATTGTCTCCGAAGAGTTGAGTAGGGGTCAGTATGCAGTGTCTCTATAAGACCAAAATATCCTAATTAAAAGGACCTCGATTATTTCCTGGCCAACACAACCTAGCTTGGAACAATCACAAGCAAAATTTCACTGGCTCTTGGCTCCCCCTGTGCACACATGGTTTCCTCCTTGCAGTAAAATAACCCTCCACCAACATGTGTATGTCCACATCTACAGCATGTTCCTAAGTGAATCTCCTCAGGCCGGGGGCCACCCATGCTAGGCAGACCCTGGATTCTGCCAAGCAGTGTGGTCTCTGTACTCACTGGGAAAAGTGCCACCTGGCACTGCAGCTGCTCCACGAGACCCAGGCCAGGGCACCCCAGAGCTCCCCGGGCCCAAGTGGTTCCATGTGAAATTGAAGAGACAGCTTCTCTCCTCACTGTTACATACCCCAGGCACTTACACTCCAAAACTTAAGTGCTTCTGTTGGGAAGATTTTGCCTTCATCCTTATCTGCTACAGTCTTGCTGAGGCTGTGCTAAGAGAGCAACGCTGGCCTGTGCTGTAAGCTGCCTTGCTCCTTGCGCCGCTGTGGCTGGGGTCCGTCCCACAGGGAGCTGGCCTCTGGGGTGTGCCTTGGCTCTGTGCATTTGGCCAGCAGGTCTGATTGCACATGAACTTGGGCTGGTTCCCATGCTACTATGATACATTGAATTAGATGATCTTTTCCTTAGATTGTCAAAAGAGAATTATTTCATGTAGTTGCCTTATTTGTTTTTGGTCTTTTTTGATTATACTGTATTTTTTTGGTTGAATTGTTTTTTAGGGGAGGTTTATTTTTTGTTCTTGGTACCGAGAACTGAACCCAGCTCTTCCAGCTTGCTAGGCAAGCATTCTACCGCTGAACCAAATCCCAACCCCTATTTCATGTAAAGTATAAGGAAAACACATTTCAGCAAAACCACCTGACTTCTGCTGAGTGAGAAGGGCTTGGTTCAACCAAAATGCCATTACTTTCACTAAATTTGCTAAAATATTCATTTTGGCCTATAAAATGACCATTTAGGAGTATAGCAGAGCTTTGATGCATTTACTAAATTCCTACCTCACAGAAGTTGCCAGAGTTGGCAAGATAGCTCAGCAGACTAAGCTCCTGCTTAGGCAAGCACAGGGACTGGGGTTCTATCCCCAGCACCATATGCCCTGCCCTTGGGAGCCCTGAGCCCTGAGCTCTGAGCCAGCCATGGAAACTGGGTGTGGTGGCACACACCTGTAATCCCAGGGCTGCGGAGGCTGAAAACAGGAGGCTCACTACAAGTCCAAGCTGTGTAGTGAGATCCTGT